CATTTTTATAAATTATTGTTGCTTTTCCACAATAGTTTTTCATAAAAAACGGCCCCAAGCTCAATAAAATTGTTGAATATAATTGTTGAATATAAAAAAATTTATCAAGTAAAACATTGTGAATATTGTAAAAAATAAAAGTGTGCTATTTACGTGAGCAAAACTTGTTGTGAAAAATGCTGATGGAGGGTATTGAATATAAGCTCTCGATATACATACATACATACATATACAGTCGCTGTGGCCGAGGAGAAACTAATTTTTTTAAAAGTCTAGCTCATGATATCACAAGCAGCATATAAGCCCACATTTCAAACTGTATACACAAAATGGTCAAAATGTCACTAACTTAAATGATTGAATACATATGAATATTGTAATTGCGTTTATTTAACTTATATACTTATGTTTTTGAATGGATTAATACATTTTTGCTTGAGTTTTCATTTTCCTTTTTATTTTAAAAAATCATTTAAAAAGTTTTCCTTTAATTGATAATGATTGCGTTGATTATTGACCGTTGAAAATAATTTAATAATTTATTTTTGAGCTATAGGCCGTATGTTGAATAAAACATTAAAGGTTTTTCTGCTTTATTAACTTTTTATTTTTATTTTGGTCGATATTTCGCCTGAAGATGCCTTGAGACTGAAATATCGACCAAAATAAAAATAAAAAGTTAATAAAGCAGAAAACCTTTATTGTTTTATTTAACATACGGCCTAAAGCTCAAAAACAAATTATTAAATTTAATTGATAATAACAGTTTACAAGAAATCTGACCTGTGGCGTTTTAACATCTTTTTTTTATGTAAAATTTGTCCTTGAATACAAATATGCAGTCAGAGATTTAGAAAGTAAATCCGTTGTCGAGGTATATATAAATTTGAATGTAAATTTCTTTTTTTACTAGTGAAGCTTGTTAAATTTGCTATCATCTATGCCAACATGCATATTCAAATTTGGCAATAAATCAATAATGTTGAAATAAATGATAGCAAATGTAAAAGCTTCACTGGTATAAAAAGAAATTTAAATTCAATGAGTGAACTTGTTTCAGTTCTCAAAAAACCGAAATTTATATATACCTCGAAACGGATTTACTTTCTAAATCTCTGACTGCATGTTTGGATTCAGGGGAAAATTTAACATAAGAAATGAGAAGAAAGCTTATGATCTAGTGTGATTAATTTTAATATACCATTAAGGCAAAAATACCGTGTGATATTTACATTTTTAATAAAGTATGTACTTATAAATATTTGATTCTAAGCTTTAATTTTTTGAACTGTTATGGCCGTTTTCTCAAGTAGCCTGTAACTTTAAAGCTCACTTTATATTTAAAGGTTGCATTAAAGTTTATGATAGTGTCTAAACTAAATCATTTTTTTGTCGGTTTTAAATTGATTTACAACCAGGAAACATACATACGTCAAAAACCGATAATAGAAATGCTTAACTTTAGACATAGCTTTATTTTTAATCCAACCTTTAAATATATAGTGAGCTTTCAAGTTAAAGGTTACTTCAGAAAACGGCCCTTAGAAGTGTAATCATACAAATTTTAGGAAAAGAAGTTTGTAATCAACCTTTCTTGTACACGTTTTGCAGTGGAAGATGATGCATTTGGGCTTTCGAAAATTCTGTCAGAATTCTCAAAATCTGTTGAAAAATTTTCAATAAGATCCCTAATTGACCGCTCACTTAAACGAATGTTATGAAGGGCTGCACACGCGTTAACGACTTTACCAGCGAAAGCGGGGTCATACAACAGAACCCTTTGTTGTGATAAGCATCGCCACGTTCCTTTAGGGACGCCAAAGAGTCTCTCAATCGGGTTCAGTGCCTTGCAGAGCGCTTCATTGTAACGAAATTTTGGTGACCCTTCTGGCTGGTTGGGTAAAGGAGTCATGAGCCATGGCTCTAATGGGTATCCAGAATCCCCTTAAAGAAACATCTTTTAGTATTATATTTTAAAATAAATTAACAAAAATAAATACCAATCAAAAACATATTGCGGTTTCCATTTTCAAACGCTCGCTGCATGACTTGTCGCACAGCGGAAGAGCTCCAAATATAGGAGTCATGTCTTGCTCCCGGATACCTGGCATTCACGTTCAGGATTTTAAGATTTGGGTCACATATCTATAGCAAACACAATAAACAATTAACACTATACTTCATTTCAAATGCTTTGCTTACCATTTGCACATTTATGGAGTGATATCCATGATGATTAACGTATGCTTCCTCATTATTTTTAGGACCCAAAATGGATATGTGGGTGCAGTCGATCGCCCCGATGGTTCCTCCGACAAAAGGCGCAGGAGCTAAGGAAAACGCTTCCTTGGCAGCTTGACGTTCTATTTGGGTCATGGGGAACTTCACTTCCGACAAGAATAAGCGGCTATTGATGGCTTCGGTTACCTTGTGTATGCAGCGGCTGGTTGATGACTGACTCAGTGAAATTCCCCATTGTTCCCCCACGGGCCGTTGATAACATCCCGTGGCGTAGAATCGCAAAGCGCACAGAACCTTTCAAAACAAAAGTGAATTTATTGACACATGTAAAACTTTATTAAAAGTAAATATTTAATGCTTTACCTGTTTTTCAGCCGATATCGCTGTAATTCGTGAACCTTTTAAAAGGTCTTCCAGCCGTTCAACCACGTCCGCCACCATGCCTGGACGCACACGGTAAAGCTTCCGGAACTCTGAAGGTGGGAGTTCTAGGGGATTATCAATATCCCGCAGAAAACGCCGATCCACCGTTGAAAAATTTGTCTCTGGCTCGTTTTGAGACAAGCTTAACGCTACAAATTCGAAAGCCATCTCTAATTTGTATTTACTCCTTTTTTTCGTATTAAGTTACTTTTATTTGTTTAGATATTTACGCTAACACAAAATTGACAACTCCAATTGAGATGTCGACAATTTAGCAATAGCCGAATCGTAAACGATAACAGCTGATTTTTCGAAGGCCGGTGTTGTTAAGGAAACGTTTTCTGAATAGCAAAATCGATAAAATTGTTGTTTAGTTGATATAACGATAACAAGTGTTGTTAAAATAGAGTAGTGAATCGCACTACTGAACGAGAATGGTTATGACTGCTGATCAATGGTGTTCGCATCGCAGATCGATCACCATTCACCCGCGCGGAATTAAATAATCAAAATATCCACACAAATTTTGATTGAAAACGGCTCATGCCGTTTGAAGACTGAGGACGATATTGATTTACAGTGATTATGAATTCAAAAGATAATTATTTGATTCAATCTCAATGATGATTTATAATAGCGAAATTTCTAAAAGAAAAAATTTATCAAAAATCTATTAAACTCGAATATGTATGGTTCACCGACGTACAATTTTGTGACCAACAAAATGAGAAAAACGACTAAAAGATTTTAATTTTTCCTTAAATCTAATTTTATGATGTATTAAATTGATTCGATGATGAAATTGCTATATTCCCTCAGCTGAGCACGCGGTTATTTTATGCCGAGCTTAAGTGTGGTTATGTTCAACAAAAACTTATTCTTTTTCACCCGTTTAGTTGGGCGCCAATGATTTGCTTGACCTTAGTTTGTCGCTCCAAACAGGAATCTTTATTTACGGTTGATGGATAGCTCGTTTCCAATGGATGGTGGCAAGAAAGTGGCTGACTTATGTGTAATGATTTTGTATTACCGGCTTATGGTGACTCAATTGCTGTCAAATGAATAGTCCAGATTTGATATTCACAACTTCTTTGTTCTACGCAACAACATGGCTGGGGATTCGCCGGAAGGATTGTGACGACACCTTTTGCCTCTATTAACTTCATACAAGAAAAAAAGCTTTTTACAGTCAGCCTTTTTCCGTTTATTTGCTTGGACGCAGTCGATTTCACTTTCCACTGAGGGGTGAGTATCGACTCCCCGAATGTCGCCAGCTTTTAATACACTTTAATTACTTGGTTGTAATTCCGTTCTTGCGAGGGCTGATGAGTGTGGTTCGCTCCGTGTCCAATTCGGAAAAAGGCCATATATTTTTCTAGCCTCGTGGTATGTGACCACCGATTCTTTTATCGTCTCTCAGTGTGGGCGTTTTCATAGTGGCCATGTCAATTCGTGTCTATACTGATATAATGGTTCGTGTCTTGAATAACTATTGGTTACGTACATTCATCTGGCAAGTTTAGCTTTGACAGTTTTGTTATGTTTACATTTCTCATAATCGTTCTTATGTCTATTATTTGGCCGATAAAAATAATAGATCAATTGTTGCTTTTGAATGATCTTGTTTTAACTTGATTTTGAATGTTATTTGAATGTTGGGTAATATCACAGAATAAACAGTATGCAGAAGACGCACCACATACACATTTATTTTTCTTCGGCGGACGTAATATTACAACCCGGACCAGAGCAGAGAAGTTAACATCACGACTACTATGAATAACATGGCGACCCGGAACAGAGCAGAGGAGTTAACATCACGTCCACTATGAATAACATGAAGTTAACATCTCGCCATAAACACACATCGGGATCAGCGTTGCCGCGAGCTGGAAAAAAATGTATCAGTTGCCAAGCAGAAAAAGTATCAAAAGCAAACAAAACTGTTGTTTGTTAAACTATTATTTAAAAAACAAATAATAATTAACATTTTATAATTTAATCTATAGTTATAAAAAAATTTATGTTTCTTGCTTCTGTCTGCTTATTTGCATAACGAAAAACATACTTATAGAGCCCCTAAACCACACAAAATCCTTGCGCAACCCGAGACTTGTACAAGTCAATATTGTGGAAATTACTACAGCATAAAATTGCGCAAACCTTATTTTGAAGGAACCTTGCTCAAGTAAATATGTACAAGAAATATGAATGTGCGTTGTATATTTTTATAGCTTCAGCTTTAAAACGAAAAAAAAAACAAATAAAAATAAAAATTTTTTTCTATGCTTTTATCCATATTCTACAGCACGATCTGGAGACTAAAACCAAAACTAAAATAAAAATTTTGCAGTTGTCGCCATACGCAGCACAAATTATTGTACAATAACACAAGCATGAGCAAAATATCAAAATAATTTTTATTTTAGCGCAATAACTGTGCAATTTAGTACAAACGACCCCATACACCACACAAACGACCGACGCAAGTCTGATATATTTAGCGTAATGTTTTTGTGTGGTTTAGGGGCCCTATAACAGCGGCGAGTGCAAAGACGTTCCGGGTTGTGTCTTCCTTATAAGAGTTACAAAATCAAACTTATAAATATCTATATATAAATTGTAGTATCTAGTATTACTATTCATACTTTTAAAAAATTGATTTCTTCTTCGAAATACGGCATTTGGGAACAAAAAAGTATCAGATATTACAATTTAGAAAAAAAAGTATTGAAAATTATACAATTGTATCAAAACGGCAACGCTGATCGTGATGGAAAACGAAGTTAGTTAACATCTTGTCGTCATAGCGACGATGGAATTAACAGCGTCAGCCGAGTGAAAATACTGCTAAAGTAACAGAGGCAGTTCCGCTTGTGATACCCTTGCTTGCCTCACCGCTCGTGCCATAATTCAAATTCGTTCGATAGTCGACATGCGTCTTCTGTATACTGTTTATTCTGTGGTAGTATATATATATATACATGATTGCTTTTTTCGATTTGTGTTTATTCGACTGCTGTGGTTTGGTCGTTTCTTGCAGTATGTGCGTATGAAGGCTTGTTTGTTTGCCTATTCCTAGGTTCAATTTGGTATGCTGTGGGATTGCTGTTGTACACTTTCCAGGCTTCACGAACAGTACAC